TTTCTCAATACAACTTTGCAATACACTTAATTTCCACAGTCAGTTTAACTTAAACAAACGCTATAATTCACAACGAACAATTCACGCACTAACGCGCTTGACTCAATTGTCCGTCTCTATCTCTGTCTACAATTCAATTCCATTCTTGCCGTCACTTCTTGGCGGTCTTATATATTATAAAAGCGTACATCTCGTCTCTTCGTGAATCTTCTAGAAACTCATCACGTGTTACCACCGTCACGTGACTTCCGCTGTCGTAACAATATCAATACTACAGATCGAAATTGTTACAAATCCATACTACAGATCGTAATTGTTACAACACATTTTGTTTATATAAAGGAATTAAATAGAAAAAGCAAAATAAAAAATTAATTAAAAAAACCGTAAAAAATATTCAAAAGCGTTTGTTTTTTCGAGCCTTTTTGTACATAACAAACGTAGTTTAATATTGCATAAGACCTAATACTCCTACGATTGCATCATATTGGAATTTCAAAACGTGTCTTAACATGTTGTAAGTTGTTTCCACCTAATAGTTTAAAAACTGTAAACACGCACTACGCCCACATAGAAGTAATTCCACACATATAATGAAAATAACTTTAAAACATACTAAATACTGTATATGTGATTTTCCGTCCAGTATATTCTAACGTTAATAAGTACTATATGGAGTCTATTATTTTGGAAAATATATTCAACTTTGAATGAGACTTTAAATTTATAATCTACAAAATAAAATTGCGGTGAATACGAAATCTCAAGCAAAATACATAATTTTCTGACGTGTATTTAATATAGTATTTACAGTAAAAAACTGTTTTTTTTTCGCTATTATTAGAGCAAAGTTAAACAATGGAATATCTGCGCTCTGCCCACAGTTGTACGAAATAACACAAACTAATCTCTCAGATTAACTGAACACCCAAAACAACAATGCGTTTTTTTTCTAGTTCTCTGTTCATATTACATAATAATAATAATGCTTGAAACCGTCTATGAAAAACATAATGCAATCAGTGATTAAGATTCATTAAATAAATAAAAAACTCGTGAAACTAACGATGAAAAATTTCAAGGTAACAAAAAAAGACTTGTTTTAAATCTGCTTTTATTAGCTAAGCTTACATGCGCTATTTTAAAATAAAACATTTAAACTGTTTTTTTAATTAACTTGTACACGTTATCTCCATAAAGAAGAAGAAAGAAGGAAATGATATTTGTATGCAATGAATTTTACAAATCATTTAATGGCCTAGTTTTATTAATCTAGGAACGCCTTATTTGTATTTATCTTTATCACACATAAACAGTGTCAGGTTGATTAAAATCAAAACAGATTAACATCACACACATACAAATTCAAAACCGTTTTTCAACATAACTATCCAAATGTTATGATGTTTTTAAATATAATACATGGAACCTGTTACTTACAACATGAATTACCTACACCTAGAGGGCGAGCGTGTCAGCTAAGGGGCCCCAATATCTGTTTAAAATATGCTTTAACTCGTTATGACTTTCTTTCTTTTTTCTAAGTAACATTATTTCCCTTTGAAACCATAACACAATTACGGGCTCTGCGGATATGTGATTTAAAATTCTGATACAGAAGAAAACAATACAATAATATCTGCCTTGTATAATCAAGTCAGTAGTTTCAACATTGAAGAACAACGTCATTTTAAAACTCGAATATTGTACAGTGGTTACATAAAAATAGGAATTATTACAGAGTTGCGATATAAAAAAATCTAAGCTCAATATGAATAATTTTAAACAACAAACGTTTTATTTTGCAAGGTGTTTATACTGAAACCTGTCAATTTAAACAGTGCTCGGAATTCGCGTTAACAAAAAATATCCTGTTGATAGAGAAAACACACTAATCAGAACAAAACATGTAAAGAGCGAAGATATTGTTGCGTCAGCGAGGTCACGTGACTAGTGGCACGCCACCTATTTTCTAGAAGTATCTTGTACCTTCGTGAATTGTCGGGAGGTTACTAGATATAGGGTAGTCTGGTATATATATAAGAGGGTGACAACGTGACGAGAGAATAATAATGTGTGTGTAGACAGTGAGTAATTGATCTGCAGTCAGAGAG